ATTCCGAAAGTATTGAGATTTCAATTGGACTAAAACAATTCAGGATAAACAAAATTCCAAAACAAAATTTATATTTCAGAGTTGTCATGCGGGAAAAAGACCTAACAGAACTCATAAATCAGACTCCCCCGTCCCGCTAAGATTGTCCCAGACACTATGCACTTGGTCAACACAAATCACTCTTAATCTCTTACTTTATACATAAAATTGTTATCAAATTTGATTCTGGTTTTTGCGACTTTATACTGATTTTAATGTAGTATTTGAATATGTAATTTTTTTTTCTAAAAATAATTTGAGTGCGGACAGGGATCTGTTTGCTTTATCGTCGCTCAAACATCGTAAACCGAATTGTCCCAAACTTAGTGGGACGGAGGTAGTAATAGTTTGAAACACCAATCATTGATGCGAATTGGGTGTCAATCTGGAGAAATAATGTGTTCTAACTATGCAGGGTCATGGATGCTTTCATTCATACATGCATGCATGTATACATGTCATAACTAGCTCATTAGTCCTACAAATCAAGATTGTTTCAATGTAATAAAAATTGACACCGCTTACGAAAAGGAAACTTAAAAATGAGTTAACTTGATTGTGTGGTGTCCAGTTTTATTACACTAAAATATTATTGACTTCACATGATTCAGAAGGGTTATGACGTAATACTATTCAGAACTATTTGGAACCTGCTGAATTTTTTCATGCACAACACAGATGACAGAACTACAAAACCTAAGGACAAACCTTCTATGTAATTCATGTACTCATTCTTATCCAAGTCTATAGAATGCATCACCACTCACCAGACAATGGTCATCTGTGGACCAAGCTCACATGTTTTTGGTAGACCAAGCTCAGAGACGAGCTGCGGGACACAACTTAAAATCCTAAAGTCTGAGAGAAATCTTTTTACACTCCAAAGCACCATAGCAGTAAAAAAGAAGAAAAATACAAAAGCTTAATAACTTATACAGGTTATTCCTCAAAAAGTCATCTCATCAATGGTTTCCATATCTATAAAACATTTGAACACTCCTGTGAAGAGGTGAGTTCACCATTTGATTTTTAAGTTTTCTTCATGGAGGTGGCGGTGGCACTGTCCACAATCATAGAGAGGTCGGATATGGAGACATCAAAGACCATTAAAGGAGCAGATGAAAAAAGTTGGAGAGGAGTGTACCAATGAATGTGGAGGAGGAAAGAGGGAGCAAACTGAGTGATGCAGGTGGAAAAAGGAAGACAGATCCGGTCATGGAAAGGGAATACAAGCACATGAGGTGAGGGGTAGAAAGTTAGGGAATGGAAAAAATACTCCCTCCGTCCCGTAAAGAAGTTCCCGTTTCAGTTTAAGATGCTTGGCTGACGATAAAGCAACTTAATCCTTGTTCACACTCGGATTATTTTTAGTAAATAAAGTTTAGATATTCAGAAACTACATTAGAACCGCTACAAAGGCTGAACAAGAAAATTTAAATTTGATAAAAAATTGTTATGTAAAGTAAAAGATTAAGAGTGATTTAAGTTGACCAATTGAATAGTGAACGAGAACTTCATTTCGGACGGAGGTAGTAGATTATATTTGTATGATGTAAGTCTTGTTATACATCTTGTTTTACATCAAGGCGTATTCTAAACCAATTTGGGGGTGTTTATATTTCCTTCCCAATCATTTCCTGACTGGCCAATTTGGTTTCTTTTAGGGAATGCACAAACTTCACTGCATGTCTGCATCCCCCTCCTACCATGCAATCAAAACAAATAAGGTACCAGACTACCAGGTGTCCTAAAGAAAGCTTCACCCCCTCCTCACTCACCCTCTCTCTTGATAGCAAACATACACTTCATAACACCCATACTTAACTCAGTTAACTGACAAAGACAGGACACGTTATGAAAATGGGAGTAAACTGATGGATACAGTAGAACAAAGGCGCCTGCAGAACGAACCTATTTTGATTCTAAATCTTATAGTGGAAGAAGCTTTCTGTAAGAAATTCGATTTATATGAATTCACATGTTTTTAAAAAACAAGAACATTGGGAGACTTACTAATCAAACTGTCTATGGCGGTTAACCAGACATACCCAACCAACCAGAATTTACAAGTTAATCTCGATTAGTGTACAATTTAGTAAACGTTTCAACGTTTTCCCCCTTTTAGGACAACAGAATGGAAAAAAGAAAAATTGGACAAATAGCTAACGATAACGAATGTACCTGCATGCAGGTCTCGTCCCAGTCGTGACCGAAGCGGATAAGGACGAGGCGCTCCTCCTCTGCGAGGATCGCTTGATCAACTGCCCAACCGGAATGAAGATGAGGCAGCAAGTACGACATTTTTTTAATCAAGGCAAGCAGATGGAGCAGATCGTAGTATATTAGGGTTTGGAGCAGATGGAGGATAGGAAGAACGCTATTTTTACGGTTTGGAGCAGATCGTATCTAGTCATCTTGGAGGAATTTGGAGAGAAGGATTGGTCCAATGGCAAGGAAGCGTATATGGTACCACCGGTTGTACGGTGCTCACCGTACAGCCGGTGGCATTTTTGTAATTTATTTGAAATTCGCGTCTCGTATTAAATGAGTATTAAACCACACATAGTGAGCAAGTGACATATTTTGTTGAGCATTAGAAGCATAATATTGAGCATCATGATCTCTGTTTCATCTCTTCGAATTTACTTTCTTTTCCTTATTTTTTTCTTTATAAAAACTTATTAAATTATATCTATAATCAACTCTTATGAACTCCAGTATGTGAATTTAATGCAATATGATACTTTGGAAATATACATTGGTATGTCATATTACAAATGAGCATAACATGAATACCCGTTGAGCATACATAACTTATAAAATGAAAATTGATATGAAAATCATAAGTACTTTTAATTGAACATCAAGACATTTTTATTGAGCATCAACTTGAAAAGTATGACCAATGATTTTCATTATGCGATTGTGATGAGCATCGAGTCTGTTCTTTTTAAATGAGCATAAAATAACATCAAATGAGCATATGTAACTTACAAGATGAGTATCAAAAAATTAAAAAGTCCATTTGTGTATGCTCATTCATTTTGGCCTTATACTCATTTGAGTTTAACATTAGTATGGTACGTTTGAAATGAGTATAAAGAGGTATCAAATGAGCATACATAATTCACAAAATGAGTATAAAAAATTCAAAAGATCATTTGTGTATGTTCATTCATTTTCGGTTGTATACTCATTTGAGTTTTACATGAAACTCATTTTTAATATGCTCGATATTCATTTGTGTATGTTCATTCTTTTTAAGCTTATACTCATTTGTGTTTAATATAAACTCATTTCAGATTCGTCAACAAGAAATATGAACTCAGTAGGCCTTCATCGGATGTCGAAACAAACACTGGCCTGGAGCTTGTTATTTATCGTACTTAAACAAAGTAAACCATGACTAACAATCGTCCTAGCAATTTCTTCATCTGATGTCTATCTGCAATTTCTATTGCAAAGGAGGCAACTAAATTAGGAACCCCAAATCCCTATCTCCTTATCTGTTTCAACCCCAAAGCCATAGTCATCGATTGACTCAATCCCAAAACTCTGAAGGTCTAGCAGGGAGAGGTGGCCGACGGGGATCTAGCAGGTAGCAGCGATGGCCGGCGAAACCTGGGACGAGCGACACGAGGACTCAAGCCTGCGTACAGAGGATACGAAGGTCTTCGATCTTAACCCTGCAAGTTGAATTTAATTTCAAAAATACTCGGCTGTACGGTTCTCACCGTACAGCCGGTTGTACGGTGTAATTTACGCAATGGCAATGGGTCGGGGCGGGGCGGGTATTGCAAGACCCGGACCCGCCCCATGACTTGGCGGAGCGGGTCCGCCCCGCCCCGTGACCTGCACGGGTCCAAACTTGTTGACCCATGACCCGCCACATGCGGGGCGGGGCGAGGCGGGTCCGCCCCGCCGCAACCTAATTAGCTAGTTTGTATTTTTATTTGTGGGAAGTTGTTACCAATTGAATCTACATAATGTTTATCTCTAAATAATAATTAAAAATCAATATATTAAATCAAATTCATGATACGCTAAAAATTTCAAAAATTAAGGAAAAATTACTCAAACTTGAATAGTTAATCTAATTAGTTATATTAATAATTGAATAAATGTTTTAAAATTCTATATATAAAGAAGACATTGATAATCCGCCATCCATCTCATTCTAATATATACTTTTTTATAGATTATAAGATCAAAGAATTTATGATTTATTGTTTGCACACATATGTATGTTGAACTATATTTGTAGTATAAGTTAAGAAAAAATATGTATACTTATATATTGAGCGGGTCGGGTCGGGCGGCACAGGTCAATTCTAATACCCGAACCCGCCCCATTGTATAGGCGGGGCGGGGCGGGGCGGACCCGCCCCATTTGCAATAAAAATTACTCCCTAATTCGCTACACTTTCTTATTTGGAATATATTTAAAAGTTTGTTACATTTTTCCTTTTGTGATTAGTTTTTCTTTTAAAATATCAATTACATTTATTTTTTCTACTTTTTATCTTCTACTCCGTATTTCCTACTTTTTTCACGGTCTCTTCTACTTTTTCTACACTATTTATTACCTTAATATTTCCCCTTGAATATTGTGTCAAAACTTAATGTAATGATCTTTTAAATGTACTAGGAGGGAGTACATTTTTAAAGAACTTATAATTTGACTATACTGATGATTATGGTTTGTGAACAATATTAGTTTGCAGAGCTTGGAGCAACTATTGTTTTCTAAGAAATTTCTATCTGAAATTTATTTTTTTCAAATGAAAAACTAAAATAGTCACATGGATAATTATTATCTATGAATAACATTGATATACATGTATACACACAAGTAACTAATAATATCCTATACCTAAAAGCACTACACGGTAGAGAGAAATTTCTCCAGCCTAAGTGTTCTAGGACCGATAAGTAATTTCACTCGGCTTATATTTCCGTCTGCCTTTTCTTCTCCTTTTCTTCTTCCGTCTACCACAGCCACCGATTCACCTCCCTTCCACCAGCAATAGTGCACCTGGAAGAAACAAATGCCTTCTACGCAAAATGAAATTCACTTACGACCCTCTGATTCTCATTTTCTCACCAGAGAAATGTCTCCTGCCGTTTCTGAAGATTTCTTCTCACCGGAAGATCAAAATACCCTCGCTGTTCTAATCCATCAAGGTCTCACACCACGGCCTTAGCCCACACAACGAAAAGAATCGCAGGGAGAGCCAGAAATCACCTTTCGAGTCCGTCAAGCTCCTGCGCCACAAGCATCGCATCAATCTGCGATCGTTGATGGAATTTAAGATCTAGAGAAGCTTCGTCTGCCTCTCTCTCAGCCGAAATCAACCCTCCTTTCGAAGCAGTCAAGACACTCGGCCTCAGGTTTGTTGATGCGTTTCTAGATTTACCGTAATAGAAGTTGATGGTTATCTAAATATAAGAAATAAATTGTGCCTTTGTTCTTATATACATGCCAATAGAAGTTATGGTTTGTTTTCTGGACAATTGCTTTCATCTGAACAATTGCTTTGGAGGTTCTGGAACAAAAAGTTTTATCTGAACAATTGCTTTCATAGTTTTACCAACTCTACGTTACTTACGGATAAAACACCCTTTAAGTTGTAAGTTCTCTCTTTTTCTTCTTTAAATGTTATCAAAAGAGAGTGGTTACTCAAAATTGACAAACACTCTATCTTAACAAATTGGTAAAGTGCAAGTCAAAATTGAAGAATACCCTATATATATTTGCATACAGCTAGCGATAGACGTGAATACACATATATCGTATACATATTGTTGTTTGTGTATAAGGAGCACCTCACCATCAATTATTCAATCAATTATACTATGTTTCTTATATAGAACTCACTCTCTTTTATTAGAACTTGGAAATGCTCATATGTATTAATTTGACAGGATCATTTTTGCTTTGGATAAATTTTTCAAACCAGCCTACGGATTAGTGTTAACTTTGAGCTTAAAGTACTCGTGCATGTCCAGGCCAGTGAATGGCAATTAGGGAAACCCAATGGACAGTCCAGATGTGAGGTAAGAGTCGGGAAAGTGAAGAGCAGTTTGGGCAAGGATCAGTGGCATATGAAATCTTTTTTTGTTTGTCTTTTCTATGTCCTTTTATCTAAAGTTAAAACAATTGTGGGATTGGGATAGAAATTATGATAGTGTGAACAATCCAAAGGAGAAAGCTTCTTTGCATCCAAATTGACTTAATAAATCTTATGTTTGGCAGGAGATTTGCTCAACGTTCACGATTGAGGCAGCTTCAATACAACTGAGTTGGAAAGAAATATCCAAGCTCTATAGGCATGTACTCATATGGGAAAGATGTCCAAGCTCTACAGGTATGTACTCATACCTGCTTTTTGATCTTAATACTTCTCATTGAGAAAGCTACTAATAACTTGAGCTTTGGATAAATTTTTCAAACCAGCGTACGGGTTAGTGTTAACTTTGAGCTTAAAGTACTCGTGCATGTCCAGGCCAGTGAATGGCAATTAGGGAAACCCAATGGACAGTCCAGATGTGAGGTAAGAGTCGGGAAAGTGAAGAGCAGTTTGGGCAAGGATCAGTGGCATATGAAATCTTTTTTTGTTTGTCTTTTCTATGTCCTTTTATCTAAAGTTAAAAGAATTGTGGGATTGGGATAGAAATTATGATAGTGTGAACAATCCAAAGGAGAAAGCTTCTTTGCATCCAAATTGACTTAATAAATCTTATGTTTGGCAGGAGATTTGCTCAACGTTCACGATTGAGGCAGCTTCAATACAACTGAGTTGGAAAGAAATATCCAAGCTCTATAGGCATGTACTCATATGGGAAAGATGTCCAAGCTCTACAGGTATGTACTCATACCTGCTTTTTGATCTTAATACTTCTCATTGAGAAAGCTACTAATAATTTGAGCTTTTTCATATGCTGATGTTACCTTGCAATATGTTTGACAGGAATATGAAATGCAATTAACCTTGCAATCTGTTTGATGCACATGAACAAGATCATGAAGAACGAGTAGGGGTATTGTCTACTTAATCAGTAATCAGTAATCAATTTATCTATATCTTGGTTGTCAACTTATCTTTTTTTAATTTTATGTTGAGTTATGATTCTGAACTCAATTAATGGGTTATTTTTTAATGGGTTATTTTTTAACCTTGCTTTCAATCTGATCACAAATATCTTGGCTATCCACTTTTCTCTATTTAGTAGGATTTTTTTTTTGTATTGATTTCCATCTAAAGGTACCATCCTTCATGCGTCGCCATCTCTACTGAGCAGACAAAAAAACTTGATCAGTTTGTTTGCTCTGAAATGCTTTCTAACCAGAATGTGAGTAACTTCAGGATTTAGAGTCTTCATCTTGAACAAGAACTAATTAAACGGTAGGCCTTTATATAATGTTCTCTTCAGATTGGATTCTCTTTTCATTTTCTTTTTTTCCTGCTATACTCTCTTCAGATTGGGTCAGTTTCTTTTAAATTTTTCGGCACTGGAATGATAGTTTTTGCCCCCTTCATATTGTTGTTTGTGTATAAGGAGCACCTCACCATCAATTATTCAATCAATTATACTATGTTTCTTATATAGAACTCACTCTCTTTTATTAGAACTTGGAAATGCTCATATGTATTAATTTGACAGGATCATTTTTGCTTTGGATAAATTTTTCAAACCAGCCTACGGATTAGTGTTAACTTTGAGCTTAAAGTACTCGTGCATGTCCAGGCCAGTGAATGGCAATTAGGGAAACCCAATGGACAGTCCAGATGTGAGGTAAGAGTCGGGAAAGTGAAGAGCAGTTTGGGCAAGGATCAGTGGCATATGAAATCTTTTTTTGTTTGTCTTTTCTATGTCCTTTTATCTAAAGTTAAAAGAATTGTGGGATTGGGATAGAAATTATGATAGTGTGAACAATCCAAAGGAGAAAGCTTCTTTGCATCCAAATTGACTTAATAAATCTTATGTTTGGCAGGAGATTTGCTCAACGTTCACGATTGAGGCAGCTTCAATACAACTGAGTTGGAAAGAAATATCCAAGCGTAAATATACAACTGAGTTGTATTAAAAAACGAGCTTAAGTAGTAGAGTCCTAATTCCACTACACAATATTATATACATTAATTATTAACTGAATTATTTCTTCATTATTAATAATAGACGGTAACCCTAATTTTTGGATAGGATTTCCGCATCTATCTATAAAAAAACGAGCAAGTAGTAGAGTCCTAATTCCACTACACAATTTAATTCTCATCTCATCGACAAAATCCTCCTATAAATACTACTGCATCACAATACCATCGCCGTACCTACTGCCACATCTATTTATCGCCCCTCTCTTCTTATTTTGCTTATATTTCAACAATTACGAGGTAATTGTTTAAATTCCGGCAATACTGCTTTTCTTTTATTTATATTTACGTTTCAGAACTACCTCTATTTTTTTCAATTTTGTATTTATATTTGTAACATCTATTCTATTTCGTTTCACATTTAAATTCTGATATTTAGCATTAGTAATATTGCCAGATTATTTTGACACCCTTTTTGTATATCACGTTTGTGATTTTAATACTGATTACTCTTTTTTGAAAATTTATATGAAGGTATTTCTTAATTATTTAATGAATTATGATAAATTGCGTCCGGATAGATTGCCACTTTTTTATTCACTAATAAATTCTGATATTTATCAGTAGGAGTCGTTCGACATTATTCAGTGATTGTTTTTATATATTATTTATGTTATTTTTAATTAATTACTTAATTAAAAAATAAAAAACATGACCGGGTAAATTATTTAATTAATGATAATGATTATCTTAATCTAGGTAAAGCAACTACATTTTAATACGAGATTTATTATAAAAGTCTTATTGCAAATAAACTACCAGTTCTTTTATTTTATTGGGTAAGAGTTCTTTTATTGGGTAAGAGTAAGATTATTAAATTATGATGATACTTATCATTAGCAGTACTAGCAGATTATTCTATCATTCTCTTTTATCTAAGATATTTCTGATTGTTATATTAATTAGTCTTTCTTGATATTTTCTATTTTGTAAATTAATTCATGTTTTTCTCAACCACTTCAAGAATTATACTTATTTTTATCTTTCTCATCTACTTCATTTATAGGAACAATGGCGCCAACAAAGATGTATCTGGGAGAAGTTGTGAAGAACTTACCAAGCAAATCTGCTTTAATTTCCTGGTGAGAGTCACTCGGAAATGGAATGCCCTTTTTGGAGAGAAGAATCGAGCCGTCAAATCCATTGAAATGATTTTCCTCGATGAAAAGGTTGCACATATTTTCCTACTCCATACTTTATATTAATGATACAACATATAATAGACATTAGGTTGGTAAATAAACCAAAAAAGAATACATTGGTTTAAACCAATATTTTCTCTACGTTTAAACTTTAAACGAATTGGGCATTATTCGAATTGAGCATTATTCGGTTCTTATATGAATACTTCATTTTCAATATAATTTTTTAATATCAAAGATGCACCATATCATATACTATCTACATTAATGTTATTAATATAACTAAATAACTAATATAGCATGAATTTAAATTCACAATGACATGGTTCAATTAATTATTTTTAACTACGGTGGTGTCCAGTGAACATGTTCTATAGCTTAGCATATCCATTTTCATGCTCTGACATTGGACTTGAAATTTATGCTGTTAACAGTTATCTTCTCATTTAAACTTGGAAAGTATGTTTTTTAAAATGCATCTATTTAAAAATATGTGTGTGTCATCTTCTCATTCAAACTTATAAGGCATTTTTTGAAAACATGCAACCTGCAAAAAGTAAGCCCTAAGTTGATACAAAATAGCGTTCCAGTTTTAACTATTCTATTTAATTCACATACCTTTCTAAGTTTAATAAAAATATTATAAGCTTATTTGGCATTTATAGGCAAAAGAAAGTTTTTTCAACCCCATAAGATATGCCCTGGCAGTGATGTTCAAATCTTAATCAAATGGAGGGAGGGTTTGAATAAATAGACAGAATTAATGCATGAAAAGATTCTGATTACTTTGTTTTGTTGATGCTTTTAACAGGGTACGACAATTCAAGCCACTATTCCGATTCGACTTAGTCATCGATTCAACACTATTGAAGAAGGATCGATTTATGTGGTCAATCACCTAGAAGTTAAAGAGAATGATGGAAAGTATAGGATCACTGCCCACCCATACCGTTTTGAGTTGACGGTGTTCACTAAAATGCAACATCGAGAACAAAAGCAACATCCTAGCTTTGTAACTAGATTTAAATTTGCAAGCTTCGCGGATATCCAGAAGATGCAGAATTGTGAATCTCCTTTTTTGATAGGTATGTCTTTGTTTTAAATTTTTAATTTCTGTATGACAGTAATGTGCTAAAAATTTAGTATATTTGTTTTATTCTTTAGATCATTATGCCTGGAATTAGTTCTATTTCACTTATTGATGATAATGTCAAATCGAATGAACACAGATGTGATTGGCGCGTATGATCTTGGACAAGAGTTCAAGAAGCAAAAGACACAAAGGGATGCTTGGTATACTGATTTTCATTTGGCAAACGTGGAGTTGAGTTCATTCAAAACTCTATTTTACCTGTAATGCATGAATAAATTGTCATAATGTTTTAAATTTTTGCTATACTTACACTGTAATACTATTATGAAGGGGCCAAACTATCTTATGTACTTTGTATGGAGAACTGGTGCTTGAAGTTGAGAGGTTTTTGGCCACTTCGTTTAGTGGTCCAGTTATATCCATTATCCAAGCATGCCACACAAATAAAAGATATGGTAAATATGTCTGACCATGACCTTTTCACGTATAAAAATGTAATAGTTTTTTTTGTTCAGTAAATTATACGTTTTCCGCCTATAGGTGAAAAGATCGGAGTGGCTTCTTCGTGGGATGCTACCAAGTTAATTTTGAATGAACATATTCCAGCCATAGAGGATTTCCGGTGCCGGTAACGATCCTTATCCTTCTTCATCATAACTAAATTTGCCAAGTTTAAACTAGGATTTCTATTTATATTATGCACAAATGTAGGTTTTTGAATTCAAGGCAGACAATGAAGTCAATTGGAAGTGAAGCAACCTCATCTTGCGTGACTCTAAGAGATGATAGTATTGATGTTGGGTTTACCATGCCTCTTTTTGATTTAGATTCCGCCAAAGAGGTATGATTTTGTATTATTTCCTAAATGTGAATCAAAATATAAAATGTTAACCTGTCAACTGAGTAACATAGGCAATCAGTAAAAAAACCTTCAATCTGTTGAAGAGTGTGGCCTTAAATAATCCAAAAAAGTGTCAGTCTGGCCTATTTTACTTAATTCACATAACATGGGAAGTCGATTAAAAAACAGTACCAGTAGTAACATTACTCGACAATTCCAGAATCAACCACACCAACTGTTTTCACCAGTTTAACAATTCTGCAATATATGTGCTTTAGATGACCAAAAATCTGAATGAAAATTCAAAAGAGAGTTTTTTCATTGCTTTATCTTACATATTTCATCCTTTTCTGCTTTATGTTTTAGTAAAGCAATATTTTGCTAACCAATCAACCGAGTGACATTACCCATCGGAATAAAAACCTTTAAGCTGCTGAATTATATGGCCTAAACTCATCCAAACATTGTGCCAATTTTGTGCCATGTTTGCATACTTTACTTCATTCAAATAATGTGGAATTTTTGTTAAAAAAGTACCAAAACTAAGATCACTAGAGAATTTCAAGACGAGTTATCAAACTGTTTTCAGCATTTTATTAAATCTGCAATATAGGTGCTTTAGCGGTCTAAAGAATCTGTATGGAAAGGTATTGCATACCAAATTCGTTCTGACTTAAAATTCAAAACATAGTTTTTCATTGCCTTTTCTTACATATGTCATTCTTTTTTACTTTATGCTTTATTCTACCTCGAACATAAACTAAGCAGCGAGAGTAGCCTGAATTAAATAAAACATGCAACCTGTAAAAAAAAATGGCTTAAACTGATACAAAATAGTATCCTGGTTTTTTGAAGTTTACTAATTCAAATAATGTGCTAAGCTGAACAAAAGTATTAAAAGTTCATTTGGCAGTTATATGCAAGACACTGTTTTTAACCATATTAAAAGAATACAAAACTGACTTCTCAATAATGATCAATAATGAATCTGTTCCTCATGAGAAATCTGTTCCTAAACTATTTCTTTATATAACAGAAAATCATAAAAACATTAGTGAATAAATTTATATGTTTCGATGTAAAATTAAATAATGAGTTAATGCTTTTCTAGATTTATTAAATAATGAGTTGATGCTTTTCTAGATTTGTAGCAGTGAAACAAGGTACTCAAAATCGAAGTTGAGGCTATCTGAATTCGTAAAACTATGCTTTTGTTCGGATATGTATGCCGAAAGAAGTTACATGCTGATGTTGTTTGTTTGTTGGTTTTCTTCTATCTAGATATTTATTAGTGTATTACATTGGGGGTTTTGAATGAAAGTGTTAATTGAACAATTGTTTACAGATTGTTATATGTTATATGTGTATGATAACAAATGTAGTTCTACACAATCAGTTTGCTATCCAGGATTCTTACAAATAAGCATTGAAAGATGCATTAAAGTCTGACCACTTGAGAATGAATTTGATTAAAGAAACAATTCTACGTAGATAGATCTTCCTAATCTTAAATTAAATAATGAGTATTGTAATTAACTATTACTTTGGTATATAGGTTAAGGGTTGCTGGTTCTACGCTGAAATTTGTTCAATTCTTTCATTAAAGAATTGGGCTTACCTGGGATGTAGTACTAAATCATGCCTGAAAAAGCTCAAGTATGAGGGAGCATCTCTTTACTGCCACAGTTGTAAAGATGTCAAACAGACAGGTATTTGGCGGTATATGCTAAAATTAATGGTGAAGCATGGCCAGCATTTTGCAGAGGTAGTTATTTGGGATGATGTTTCAAATAAGCTAATCGGCAAACCGGCAGATGATCTAAGTGACAGCCTTAACATGGTAAAGTGTCCAAAATAATATTCTCTGTTATATTTATCTGAAATTAACAATTTGGTAATTCACATTGTGATTTTAGTATAAAATTCACTTCCCTTCTTTTATGCAGGAGACTCTATCGCCTTCTGATGTTCATAATGATGTCTTGGATTTGATTGGCCGGGAATTGATCTTCAAGGTTGGGAATCGCAAGGTCAATACCCTTACAAATGAGAAGGAGTATACAATAGTTGCGTTTTCTGAAAACGCAGACAAAATTAAAGAGTTGAAGGATGTTGTTCAAGAGGAAGTTGTTGAGGTATTAATATTACATTTGAAAGTTGCCCCTTTGAAATTAGTTTCTACAAACGTGCAAACACTCAATATTTAACACACTTGTGTAAATACTTTTTTAAGATGCTGTTATACTACTTTTAAACTTAACTGTTAAACTAATAAATTAGCCTCGCAAAAAAGATGAATTTGGTTTTTGGAACTGCTCATAACTTTGCTGTATTGTTGTATTTATGCAACAAGAAAACTCAAACACTAACGCTTGGTTACTATCCTTTGATTCGTATTAGGTATATAACTCAGATTCCGATCTTGATCTGTTGTGTGATGAAGATACTAACGTCGAATCAAATATGGTAAAATATTTACAATGCTGCTTTAAATATATTATTATACAAAAACAAAATAGATTATTATACATGCGAATTTAGTGAAAAGGAACTGATCCAGGTGTGCTATTTTATTTTTTAGACGCCAAGCTCACAAGAAATTGAATCTCATCATACCCCTGAGTCGGTTTTGTCCAAGAGACATGTTACCGATGAAAATGAATCTGATGAAATGGAACAAAGCTCAGCTAAGAAGAAGTTGAAGGGGGTTAAGATTGAGATGTGACTCGAAGTGCATTAATTTATTTTCTGCTTTGATGAACTTTGGTACTTAGGAATAATGTCTTGCATGATTTAGTTTTTATTTTGGTTTGAATAAGCAAGATAATTTATCACTTCAGTATAAATATCATAAATACTTCCTTATGGAGTTTTTTCCATATTTATTGTTGAATATACAATGTTATTGTTCTTTTATTCATATTGTTGATGATAGTTGTGCCAAGCAAAAATAAAGCAGAACATCACTTTCCCTTTGTTTTGTGGGGTGATGATGACATCAATGTCATTTATTCTATGTCACTATATTTATATGCTATAAATGTGATGAAAAATAAAGCAGAACATCACTATATTTATTCTACCTGGCCAGCCTTTATTTCTCATGCCATTTTGCAGAAACTCTAGGAGGGTTTAATAACCTTTATTTTGCAGAAAGTTTTAGTGCATAGTGGGATAAACTCATCTCTGATTTCTGCCTCGGGTTTTAATAACTCTTGCTAACTTTTTTTGTTGAATTATTAGCAAAAATAATAATGTATTTTGTTGTGTACATATTTAATATTTGAAAGCATTTCATATTAAGGCTACACTGTACCTACTGCCACAGGCTGCATGGGACAATAGCAAGTGCCACAGGTTGTACAACAATTTGCAGTATTGCTCAATATCTAATGGTCCTTATGCAACTCTAAAAACTCAAATGTATCATTGTACTCTACATAATAAAAGAGTTAACTATCAGGGATATTTCAAGCCAAAGAAAATCACTCAAGTATCCAGACCAGGAGAGTGACGGAAGCAGAAGGCTATGAGCGAACTAAAAGAAACCCCCTCTGGAGTTTCTTTTATGAAACTCTAAAAACTCAAATGTATCATGCTACTGTACATAATAAAAGAGTTAACTATAAAAGATATTTCAGGCCAAAGAAAATTCACTCAAGTGTCCATACCAGGAGAGTGACGGAAGCAGAAGGCAAAGAGCGAACTAAAAGAAACCCCCTCTGGAATTTCTTTTATGAAACTCTAAAAACTCAAATGTATCATGCTACTGTACATATAATAAAAGAGTTAATTTTAAAGGATATTTCAGGTCAAAGAAAATCCACTCAAGTGTCCAGACCAGGAGAGTGACGGAAGCAAGGGGCAATGAGCGAACTAAAAGAAACCCCCTCTGGGGGGGTGCAAGCAAAAATAATCCAGAACAATACTTATGCTAGAACTGTGATGAAAAAGCTACACTTGATTGAATTGATTTAAATTAAACTACAATTCTATCCTATTACATAAAAAAAAAAATTAAACTAAAAAAGTGTACCTTTAGTTTATACTCCCTCCGTCCCTGAAAATACTTCCAACTTTCCATTTTCGTCCGTCCCAAAAAGAACTTCACTTTCCCTTTTTGGCAAAGAATTTGTGATTCACATCATTTCTCTTTCTTCTGCACAACTCTCCACCACACAATTCCCATTTTCTTAATCCGCGTGCCACTTTATTTTGGAAGTAAATTCAGGGACGGAGGTAGTATATGAGTACTTGGTTTAAATAAGTACTTAGTGCACTTAATTTAAAATACACACACATATGTATGTGTGTACTTAGTTTAGTATATTTAAATCTACTACGAAAAAATTACAAGTTTGGAAGTATAACACTAACACAACATAAAAAAAACTTTTCCATTGAATCGTTTTTTACTTATGTCCGCTTTCTCTAATTTTTCACCTCTTTTTGAATCCTATCCAAATTAAATCATTTTTATTAAACCTTGAAATTAATTAAATTTATCAATTTAATTATAATTGATATTTTCTGCCTGTTAGTAGTTTATTCCCCTATTAAAATTATTTATACAAAATATTTATTTAGAGAATATGAACGATAGCTTATACTACGTTACTATGTAAGATATATGTATATTAACGCAGTTTACTACTGGAGTACTGTTTACTATGTTAGATATGACTTTTGGATATTTTTTAATGATAGTATAAAAAATATACTTATAGTGAACTTATATATTACATTTACTAAATTGATAGAAAAAATCCAAAAAAGTTAACAAATAAATAAAGGTCTATCAATTAATACAAATAATAGCACTTTTATTATTACTTAATTTTTACTCTACATTTTCACTTAAAAAAATACAAAAACGTTATGCATCTTTTCATGTTGAGTGATGAATTTAATAAAATATACAATATTTAAATACTGAATTCGTAAACATGTTTTCTTTATTTAGATGTTAATTAAAGGTAAAAGTATTGTATGTTTAATTTCGTTGTGATGAAATGTATATATTGTGGAATATTTTATTTATTAGTTTAATCTTAACTAACCTAATAAAATATTTAAATGCGCCACTACAGATTTTGAACTGGATCAAGAGAAAATTGAAAAGTATTGTTTGTTGGAGATTCAGAAGCTCTTGCAGTCAAGAGGTAGATCACTACGTGATTTTGCTGGCATACCCTTGCTACCTGATGATGAAATGCCCTCGCTTGAAGAAGTTCTCATTCATGAAGAGCTGCGGTATGATAAATCGTATTTGATGGAGAAGCATGCAAAGTTGTTGGCCGAGATGACAGATGAACAACGTGTTGTGTATGACAGAATAATGGAATCTGTAGATTGTAGAAATGGGAAATTCTACTTTTTATATGGTCACGGAGGAACTGGGAAAACATATCTACGGAGGACTTTGTCTGCAGCTGTTAGATCTCGCGGTGATATAGTTCTTAATGTTGCTTCAAGTGGTATAGCATCGCTTCTGTTGCCTAGAGGAAGGACCATTCGAGGTTTGTGATTCCACTTACTGTTGTAGAAGACTCCATGTGCAACATAAAACATGGTAGTCCGTTGGCTAAGCTGATAGAGTTATCTAAGTTGATTATATGGGATGAGGCACCAATATAATGATGCACCGACACTGTTTCGAAGCTCTTGACCGGAGTATGAGAGACGTGCTTCGTTACTCTAGCCATTGTGACGCTACCTTGCCTTTTGGTGGGAAGACGATTGTATTTGGTGGTGACTTTAGACAGATTCTTCCCGTGATACCAAAAGGCACAAGACAGGATATTGTGCACGCTGCACTAAACAGTTCATTCATGTGGTCACATTGTACTGTAGTGAGGCTTACTAAAAACCTGAGGCTCGCGAGGATGCTTGGCCAGCCGGATGGACCAACTATCCAATCTTTTGCGGAGTGGATTTTGAAGATTGGCGACGGGGCTTTTGCTGAAAATGAAGATGGAGAATCACTCATTGATATACCAGACGATATGATCGCTCCAATGACGTCTGATCCCGTTGAATCTATAGTTCAAGCTATTTATCCTGATTTCTTAACCCAGAGTGATCCGATTAATTATCTTAATTCCAGGGCTATTCTTGCTCCGACCATAGATGAGGTTGATAAGGTCAACGATTATATGTTGAGCAAGATAGATTCAGAGTTAAAGACATACCTTAGCTCAGATTCAGCTTCTTCATCTGACTCGGATAGTAATGATCTCTTGCACGAGATACATTCTCCTGAATTTCTTAATAGTATCAAATGTTCTGGCTTGCCAAGTCATGAGCTGAAGCTGAAAGTTGGAGTTCCTGTGATGCTTATGAGGAATATAGATCATTCATCTGGATTGTGCAATGGCACACGGCTTATGGTCACTAAACTTGGAGCTCATATTATTGAGGCACAGATGATGCACGGAGAAAATGCAGGTGAGAAGTTTCTTATTCCCCGCCTTACTTTGACACCGTCAGACATTAGTCTCCCGTTCACTTTTCAGCGTAGGCAATTTCCGTTAATGGTTAGCTATGCAATGACCATTAATAAGAGCCAGGGACAGTCATTGGAAAATGTTGGCATCTTCCTCCGTCGACCTGTTTTTACCCATGGACAGTTGTACGTGGCAGTCTCGAGAGTAACAAGTCCGTCTGGATTAAAGTTTGTTATATGTGATGAAGAAGGGAAACCAACGAAGTCAGCGTTGAATGTAGTATACAAAGAAGTTTATACTAATTTATAGTTCCCTTGCTTTACATACATGATACATGCATACTCATTGCTACGTATATTGCATGATGATTTGTACTTAACGTGGAGCATTATTTTTTAATTTCGTATTAAATATGAAACTTATTTTATTATATGCTTTAATTTGATTATTTTGTTTAAGTTTTTTATTTTATGTTTTGAGTTAGCTTAATTGACTATGAAATTCTTTGAGTTTATGCATGATTTGTCCAAACATCTTCACTCCCGTGCGTAGCACGGGTGGAATTACTAGTAACTACAAAAAATCATTGTTATGCAACAACAAACAAATGTAAATTACAACTTGTAATATCTTGCTTTTGACAATTCTAGTAGCCAAGAAGGCGAGAAGCTTATACGAGTAACTATGCTAAGGGTGGCTTGATCTAGTTCCATTAGAGACAGGGCATTTGATCTAGTTCCATTAGAGACAGGGCAAGCGAGGTACATGTATTTTGCTCATAGAAATAGTCTCTGGTCTCAATAAATTGAGCTAAATGCTAAATAATCAAAGAGACCTTCTATTCACATGATAAATAGTGAAGTGACAAGACATTAATACATGAAGTAAACTTCCAATATATAAAGTCACAAGGCCCAATTTAGATGTCATGTGAAATCAGGCTTCATCATACTTGTTGGATCATCAGTTCTTCTGCCCGTCTATTTTGTTTCTTCCTGTGATTAGGGGGGAGGGGGGTAAGTCATCAGATTTAAGGATCGATCTTTCAAAAGCGATAAAGACAAGATTAAATTTTTACATACCAAATCATATGAAAATTACAATTTCAACGATTTGGAGATAATTGTGTAACTTGGGGTGGGAGTTTTCTGCGCTGGTGGGGTGAGTCAACAAGTTAACATGTATGTCTACACCTAGAAAGTTCCCTGAACAGTGTTTAAGTTTTTCTATGCCAACTCAAGCACACCCAAATTTGAGACGGTCTTCATTGGAGATGCAAATAAATACACAATGTCTAATTTTATATTTTTATGGGGGTGACACCTTTTTCATAGACTTAAGTCACTTAACATTCACCCCTAAAAGATGGGCAATTAAGAAATCTATGGGCAACATTCACCCCTAAACATTCGTTACATAAAATGATTAAAATTTATATCCTCAAACTAATAAGAAAACATAGTAATACGGATGCACTTCTAAAAGATGAATGACTGTTTGGTTTATAAACATGAGAAAAACTAAGTTAGCAATGCAGATATATGAAAACTATAGCAAAATATTGAATTAAAAAAAC